AGATAAAAAGAGGTAGCTTCAGGTGAACCACGGAGAAGGTATTTGTTTTATTTTGTTTCATAATTTACACATATGTTAAGTGCGTGGTTTGTACAAACCAAACCTTACACAACAAAAGTGTCTTTGGAGTCTGAGACAGGGAGAATGAAGAAAGCCAGTGAGATAATTTTTTGGAAGCATATTCTACAAAAGAGAAGAGAAAATTGATCGCAGGAGGAAGTGAATCCACAGGAGAGACTTAATAACATGTAATGTATTTCAGTCCTCTGAATACCAAGCATATCTCACTACCATCCCCTGTACACGCAGGACCTGCACCCTGCTGTGGATTACAAAGGGGACCTGAAGCATCATACTGAGGAGGTGGGAGAGGGACAAATAATAGTGGCAAAACCCTCAAAACTATTTTTTTCTCAATTTCCAAAAGCAGATTCCTACAAAAGTAACTCTTGATCAAAACAGAGAACAAAAACTTGAGTGGTTTTAAGTTCTGATGGTAAAAGGAATTATGACTAATGGTAAAGAAAAAAAAGAAGTCCTTCTGAAGAGAAGCTATCTATTGATTGTGTCCCTATCTGTGATACAGGAAGGAAGATGATGCTAATGGATTCCATCAGCCCTGGGGCCCATAGCACTACAGCAAGGTCTTTTATGTTTAATTCTAGCCCTCTCCGTCTTTTTACCCTCAAAAACTCAATGCGGACTTTTAATAATGTATAAGGCTGAGATTTTTGCCAGGTGTGGTGGTGCACACCTGTAATCCCAACGTTCCAGGAGCCAGCCAAGGCAGGGGGATGGTAAATTTGAGTCCAGCCTGGACAAGTCAGGAATTTAGCAAGACCCTGAGTTTTTTGTTTCTCAAAGCACTCTGCTCAAAATCCCAAAGAAAAAGCAGAGAACATTCAGGCAAGTTAAATAGGTGTCAATTTAAGGACAAATTGATTGAATTACAATCCCCGGCCACGGATGTGAATTTTGGTCTTTATTTTTTTCTTTCACACACATGATATTTCCCTGACATCTGTGCAATACAAATATATCTAGAAAGTGTGAAATGAAAAATCTGCTCCACTAAATATATAAAAGGGACCCCAAATGAAGTCTTCACGATAGCATTCGTCATTGTGGGCACAGATGGCATCCTCTTCCAGCTCCCACCCCAGCCCCGCCCCCCAACACCAGCTTAAGTTTCAGCCGCGGAATTCTCCCAAAAATATCACATGCAATAGAAGCCTGATAGCAGCAGAAGAGCCCATCCACGAGCTACATCCTTATTAAGTACATCAAGTGTGGGGCCAATAAAGCAGAGACAATAGTTTCTAGACAGATAATGTGGACTCTGCACATCACCTGTTGCTATGGAAATCCAGATGACCTAAAAGTCTAGTGCTATTTTGTCAATAAGTAGTGACATTACTGTCTTTCACTTATCATTTTTCCTACAGTGCCTATGTTACAGAGCACATGCGCCTCTTACCAATGCTCCTACATCCACACATTAAGGCATGGGAATACACACAATCATCAACATGTTATTTTGCTTTCTAAAGTGCTTAAAGAAGCCTTAAGTCACAAGCACTTAGTATTTAAGTTTCAAATGATGGCCAGAAAGTCTGGGAGAAAGACAGGTACACTACAAAGTCATCAGAAGACTAGCTTGGTCTACCTCATGATATCTTAACTAGGACAGCAATACCAACAAATAAGCCCTAGAAAACAGAAATGGTTGAGACAGTAAGAAGTGTATGAGACTCTGAAGCCTGCCTTGGGCAGGGCCAGGTGAGGGTGCCTGACAGTGTAATTCTCAGGTGTGTCTTAGAAATGGGAGGGAGGGGTCCCAGAAGGTTGTGTGGGGAAAGAGCAAAATAAGAAACCAAAGAGGAACTGAAAGGGGAAATTGTTGGATGAATCTCAGGGAACACTTTCGACTACAGGAGTTATTCAGCTGGGAAACACACTCAAGGGTGAGAAGGACAGTGCTTTACTGCCGTTCTTAGGTCCTTGACTTGAATTCTAAACTGTATACTTTTTCACTACTGAAAAGTCAATCTTCCTTTCTTCTCCCTCCCTCCCTTCCTCCCTCCCCACTTCCTTCCTTTCATTTTTTTCCTAATCCTAGAGATTAAACCCAGGCCCTCACCCTTTTCATTTTTTTAAAATTTTGTCTCACGAAGTTGCCCAGGCTGGCCTCAAACTTGTGATCCTCCTGCCTCAGCCTCCCAAGTAGCTGGGACTATAGGTGCAATGCCACACATGGCTCTCTTTCCCTTTAATACAGCAAATTCAGTTTTAAGAAACAATTGCTCCAAGATAGCTATAGAAAAGAGCATTAACAAAAGGCTTAAAGTGGTTATCAGATAGCCCACCGATGGACACACAAAGCCTTGCGTATTTCTACATATATTACGTAGTACATATATTGCAAAGATAAATTATCCTTTGTATTTTTCACTCTCCAATTGGATCGCTGAAATAAAATAACAAAAACAATCACAAAATCACGGCAATAGAACTGTCTGCTTCCATTCCTACTTTTTTTTTTTTGTACCGGGAATCGAACTCAGGACCTTGCACTTGCTGCAAGGCAGGCAGCGGAACCACTGAGCTAAATCCCCAGCCCCCGTTCCTACTTTTAAAGAAGAGGAAATGAAACTTCAGAGAGGAAAAGTGACTGGAAGAAAGCCATACAGAATAGTTCAGGCTGTCGTCTTTGAAAGTCCGTGAACATCAAATGTGCCCGGGTCTATGGTATCGAAAGGACAAGGACCCCTGAGTACTGAACTCCCTGGTCTCCTAATGGTAACCACCCCGTTCTTAGTGACAAAGGGAGCAGGCAAATGGGAGAGAAGCAGGCAAGGGTTTCAAGGTCTCTAAGTCACATTTGTTTGTTGGTACAGAAATCGGCCTATCTGGGGACACAGTCACCACTAGGCCGGCCCAGGAATGACAGGTGTCTCTGGTCTAACTGCTGGGTTGTTTCAGAAGCACAGTGAGGGGGGCTAAATGTGGCCAGTGAGTGGCCTTCCCTAGCTATGCCCATCATCCTAGCAAGCTCCGTGTGGTGGAATGAAGACCTGGAGAGAAAATGGGCAGAAGCATGCCCACCCTGTTGGTTTGAGGACAGGATGCTTGGGACAGATGAGGTTCCTGTAGAGGAGAGACAGCACAGCACTGCCACCAGGTCAATCTGTCAAAATGGAGAATCCAGATCATTCAACCAAAAATAAATAACCCAAACCTACAAACATTTGAACTGGATACTCTCCATGCTTGTTTGTTTGTTTGTTTTTCTGAAGGGGTGGAGCTTCTCTCTGTGACAGTCTGGAAGGTGTGGATTTGAATCCTGGCTCACCGTTTCCCTTAAGCATCTTACATAACCCCTCTGATTCCCACAGCTGATTCCCAAAGCTGAGGTTCCCACCTACCTCCTGCCTGTTCAATCGCAGGGCATTTTTATGACCTGAAATCCACTCACTAAGCATTCCTGAGAACCTACCACGTACCAGACAAAGTGCTAGGTGCTGGAGAGAGGAGCGACGGCTCTAACAATGTCCTTGTCCTGAAGACACTCTGATGTTTGAACAAGGAGGCTGTGGCACATTTACAACTCGGGGAACTACAGTGTGATCAGGGCCACCTTCGCTGTATGAATGAAAGGCTAAAGGGAAAACAGGCAAGGAAGTGGTTAATTATGCCTGGCAGAACTGTTACTCTGAGCTGTGAATTTGGACTGTAACTTTAAAAAAAAAAAAAATGAGTGCATAACCATGGAAAATGGTGTGGCTAAGCATGAATCAATGACTAAATACCTCAACCATCCCTAAATTGTAATAATTACTGGAAGCACATGAAAACACTTTGCTTGTCTGTGTGAACCAGCATTGCCTGGCTCATTTTTATAACACACAATAGCACTAACAGGTTTTATGAGCAATATCAAATTAGATCAGGGGCTGTCTGATACCACTGTTAATTATTGCGTAGGATGAAGCAGCTATTTAGAGTGTTTCATTACAAATAAACAAAAATCAATCACTGAAAATACGGAAACTCTTAATTACTCAAGACAAGATTGGAATGAATAAATCCACAAAGAAGAAAACCTATAACCCAATTAACTCAAATTTTTCTCCCCCCAACAATCTTTTTCTATAGTGGACAAAAAAATTACCTGTTTGAGTTGCTGGCTACTTTCATTTATAGGGAAAAAAATGCAGGCACTGAAGTTAAAATTTTTCGAGATGTAAACGTGACCATAAATTCTATAGTAAATCCTTTGCTGCTATTGTGTGGGCTCTTTCCTAAGCTGTGGAACTTTTTTGACTCTTCTATCAGTTATCACAGGATGCTGAAGCCAAAAAGAACCAGAGAACAAGCTGGTCCAACTTACTTTGTAGAGAAGGAATGAGACAGAGGTGGTTTTCTCGTCATCACCTCTGCACTTTAATATTTGCTTGATTACACTCATCCACAGAAGGTAAAGCGTAAAGTGATCTTTTAATATGTCCATCTTTAGACACATACACAGAATCGAGTCAAATGATACTCTGACCCATCTTCCCTCCATACTAATGCACTGACAGGCTGGTCCAGCTCAGAACGTGGCCTTCCTACCAAGTCAAAAATGTCATAATCCCAGCAAATTTAGGCAACTGGCTTTGAAGAAAAAACCTCTTCAGACAAAAAGAAAACTGTCATTCCACAAAGCAGCCGACTGCGGTAGACTGGGATCCGAGTGCAGAATCAGCCAGAACATAGTTATCAAATGAAATCCCCTAAAGTCTGATTTGCCTCTAGGTCTAGCAATTAAAATAATGTTTCAATTTTCCAATGGAGGTAGCATTTTTCCACGGGGGGGGGGGGGCAGGGCATTCTCCCACAATCTATTTCTCTACCAAACAGGCACACACGTTCATACTAGGATAGACATGTAGACTCTAATCCCTTCTTAGTGGAAAACACACATTTGCAAAATGAATCCCCAATCTAGAATGAATTACCGTAATAGCCACAGCGGGAGCGAGTCCGCTGATGAGGAACGCAGATCGGCCACCTGCTTTGAGACGCCTTGGACCACGACACCGCTGGGGTGTGCACAGGCTGGCCTTTTCGGGTAGGGCATCTGCCCTTCTACAATCGCCTTTAAAATCCCAGGAAAAGAGAGAAGATGCCTCTCCCTTAATCCTTGAACTACGCTGCTCTTCCTGTATCCATTTCTGCCGAGCACAGCATTGTTATCTTTTCAAAGAGAGAAGAAAACAAAAACAAAAAACAAACAAAACACAAGGGGGTAATCACGCCACTGCAGATCGCAAGAGGAGTAAGCAACAAAACTACAGCAATGTCAAATCGTATCTCTGGCAACTAGGAAAATCCCCACTCTGAATGGGTGTCAGCCCAATGCAGACGGAGGCACGGGCGTCTCTGCAGCCTGTGTCCCTGCCAACTGCCCCTCCACCCCCACGCGCTAAAATTCGGCAGGGGAGAAGTTACGGTGCCCAGCCTGTGTGCAAGGCAGACCACGCATCCGCGCTCCCGGAATCGGCCAAGTGGCTCGGAAGTCAAAGAAGCCTAGCAATCAGAAAGCCCTGGGGGATGCGGGGTATGGAGGGGCCACTTTGCTGGAGCGCTCGGATTTTGCTGCATTGTGACGGTCCCGGAATGCTTGGGTAGGAGGAAGCGCACCTCCAGCCAAAAATGGACCGGACGCGCGTGTCCCAGCTCCTCCCTCCTCCCTCCCGCCCGCCGGGGTGCAGGTCGCAATACGGTAGGCGACGTGACGGGCTGCTTCCTCTCCAACTCAGGTGCCAGGCCCAGCGGAGGGCATAGCCGGCAGGGACCGGGTGCATCCTCGCCCGGGAAAGCCGGGGCCGGACCTGGCCCCGCAACGAACCCAGCGCAGGCTGGCTCGTGAGGGGACCTGGGCGCAGGCAGGGGGACCCTGGCCGGCGTCTCCCGGGACACAATCGCCCACGGCTAGCCCGAGGCGGAGCGCCGATACCAGCTCGGGTCCCCAGGGTGGGTGTGGGCTAGGAAAGAGGATTACGTAGGTCTCTCCGCCCCTGCCCGGGCACCTCCTCGCCGCGAGCCCGCTGGGGGGCTTCTTTGTTTCCCTCCGCGCCCCTCGGGAGGGCCCGGCGAGCCCGCTCCACCCCAGCCGGGGTCCCCAGCCGCGCACCCAGCCCGGCGGGCGGTGGCGCACCCCAGGCTGATAATTGAACCTCGCGGGAGAAAAGAGAAGGTGGAGAGGAAGGTGGATCCCGGCCCAGGGAAGGAGAGCACCGCTGAGGCTTCGCGCTCTCGGGAGCCGCGCGGTGACTGGGGTCGGGCGGGGGCGGTAGGTCGAGCGGCGCGCTCACCTCGGCAGCTCCGGGCTGGGCGCAGAGCATCTCCGTCCGCGCGCAGTCACCTCCCTCGGGGACCCCGGGGGACCTGCCTCGGGGACCCCGGGGGCGCCAGCCACTCGGTGCCTGGCGCTTGCGAGCGAACGAGGAGGGGCCAGGCGCACCGAGGCGCGCGGGGCTGAGGCTCCCACAGCGGCGCCTGACGCGCGGCAGCGCGGCGCACTTCCTCGCTTTATCCTCGCGCCCGCATCTCCTCCCTCCCCGCCGCTCCGCGGTGGATACCAGACTCCGGAGCCAACCACAGCCCGGTTGGCTCAGCTCGGCGCCGCCCCGCCCCGCAGCCTCCGCGCGCCCCCTCCCGCCCCCGCCCAGCCGTAAATATATATTGATTCTTGTTCCCTCCGGCCCAGTCCTTCCAACACGAGCGCCTGTGCTGGGCCCATCCGGCGTCAACCGCGGCTCCTCAGCCCTTTTGTGTATATGCGAAGGGCGTGTTGTGAAAAGGATGCGGCACAGACACCCTGGGCAGGTGCCCCGTGACAGGTGTGCTTGGCCTCTGCCTTACACACTTTCCTCACCCATCTTGTACACAGTTACGACCACTCACGGACACATTTTGGGACCCCGTCCTGTGTCTGCACGGTGAAAGCGCCCAGCTAACACTGTTATTACAAATGCAAATCCAAACCTAGCAAACTTAGCCAAACCTGGCTTTCAAGGAGGGTTTGGTATTAAGCTGGACGCAGCGTCAGAATCCTGGAACTGGAGGGAAAGAGTCTAACCCTCTCCTTGTCCAGACAACCAAGATCCAAAGGAAGATGACGCACTGGCCTCTGTGGGTGCTGGCTGCTTCCTGAATGTAAATGGATGTGCATTTGGTCCATACTTGGCTTCTGCCTGTTCACTTAGGGTGCTGAGATATTGGGCGTATTGTCTCTGATTCTAACTGCATTCTTCATAATGCTTATTTATTTCTTCCATTTTCCTGCCCAACACTCTTTGCATAAGCCATTTTTTCACATCCTGAGAAGTTATCTTCTTCCCCATATCCCAAACCCAAGACTCTTCTAGGATAAACAAAAGGTGGACCTGGCTCCAGAGTTCCTCATTGAAGACATGAGCGCAGACTTGCACAAACCAAGGCCTGCACCTCTCACCAAGACCAGGGGTGACTTCTTAATGGCCCCATTTCCCTGGCCTGCCTCTGGGCATTGATTTCACTCACGGTGGGCACCTTCCAGGGATGGAACCCTTGCACTTGGCAAAGGCAGCCTCACCAGCTGTGCCCCTTTCTGCAAGAAACACCTCTTCTCCCTTTCCTTAGTCCACTCTGGGTGCTTGGTCCTTTCCCACGGGACCATTCTCTTTGTCTGGCAGGAGTCAGATTTTTTGGTCAGATGAGCTCAAAGCTGACCACTTTTCAAACCTCCACTAAGGATCCACACAGAATTCTGGACACACATTTCTCCAGATTTTGCATTTTAATTAATATCAACTACTATACGAAGAAGAGCCTCTGAGAATGGAGTTGGCCGGCTGAAGCAGTAAACACTAGTATAAACCAACTGTGTTTCCAACAGGAAAAAAGGAAGAAAGAAGGAAGGAAGGAAGGAAAAAGGAAGGAAGAAAGAAGAAAGAAAGAAAGAAAGAAAGAGAAATGCCTCCTGCATAAACCATTGTGCATGGTTTTTAAATTGGCACATTGCCACCAAACCACAATAAAGGATAATTCTTTACCTCAATTAATTGCAGGATGTTCACTGCATTATTTTCAGGGATGTGGCTTGAGCCTGCTTTGGACAGTTTCTCCCTGTTCTATCTATCATGGAGATGACATGACAGCTTAACATCTCTCTTAAGGGTTATTGATGTAACGATCCTGAGATGAGCTTCATTTTCCCCTGGGGAAGTCTTTCTTTCTTTCTTTCTTTCTTTCTTTCTTTCTTTCTTTCTTTCTTTCTTTCTTTCTTTCTCTCTTTCTCTCTTCCTTCCTTTCTTTCTCTCTTCCTTCCTTCTTTCCTTCCTTCCTTCCTTTCTTTTCTCCTACTAAAGGCAAAAGATATTAAAGTAGAAATACACAGTTTTCCATCTCAATGCTTTCAATAAATAAACTTGTAAAACAGCTTCTACCTTCCCAATGCATGGGCACTAAATAGACTCCTGTGTGTTGCCTTTTTATTCCTAATAGTCCCAGCATAGTCTGGATAGTGTTGTCCTATTTTACAGAGAACAAACAAAGCTACATGGGTTCTGTAATTCCCTTAAGGTCTTATGAGAAATCCTCTGATCTAGAGGTAACTGATGTCAGCTGCCTTTACCTTAAAGACACAAGTATATGGCGGACAAAGGAAGAAAGCTGGCATGAATTTTAAAGCTATTCTCTTAGTAGTCATATGTATAAAGCTTCTGATATACTCACTATACTCAGAACGCTGTTGTAAATACAATAGTAATGTCATGGTGCTGATGCTCTCAAAAATAGTTCTTTTTTTTTCCTTTTTTGAAGTGTTGAGGATCAAACCCAGGGCTTCAGGAGTATTAGGCAAATGCCCCACTGCTGAGCCACACCTCCAGCTCAGTACTAATCCTGAATGATACATAAGTCAATGAAGCCTAGGCAGACACCTGTATTACCCCAACGCTGATGTAGTCTAGTGCTTCCACCTTTTGTAACTGAGCCCTGCAGATGGGGAAGGGGCTTGCATGGCTGCTGGGTTCAGGCCACAGGCAGATAAAAAGGAACAAATACAGCCCCCCACCCCACGTACACAAATGGTCTCCACTGTGTGAGAAAACTGGCTTGAACTGATCGGGGGCTTATTTGGCAGCAGACCTTTACCGTGCTGTTAGAAACGAGTGCCTCACAGAGGATGGAAATGTGAGCTGTGCTCGTCATGTAATGTCTGACACAACGTCTCCACAGAGCTAAAGTGCAGGTGGCCATACGCGGTCATCATTTGGACACCGTAAGTGGTAAGGCTTGGGATAAGAACATGGTGTCCAGGGTGTTTGACTTGGTCAGCTGAGCAAATTACCTAGAGGAACAAGTTCTTTCTATAATGACAGTAAGAGGAGTTTTGATTTGTTCTTGCTGCTTTGTAGTACTGGAATTGAACCCAAGACCTTTGCACTGATTGGTTTTTTTCTTTTTTTTTTTTCATACTCATGTTTGGTTTTTATTTTTTTGAGACAGGGTCTCACCGCGTTGTTAAGTTGCCCAGCCTGGGTTCAAACTTGTGATTTTTCTGCCTCCACCTCCCAGGGTGCTGGTATTATAAGTGTGCACTACCACAGCTGGCTGAGGATTTTTAATTTTAAAGAGTGAGTAAACTTAAACTTGAGTAGCAGTGGCTTTCTTGACAACAATGAAAACCTCAGGGTGACTTTGGGCCACAGTGGATCAAGTACAGGCTGCAATTCGATGAGGGATCATAGGACTTCCCTTATCATATTTATTCATTCATTCACCATTCTTGGGAATGTGTTAATTCCTGGGGATATAACCTTGCAGAAGACAGAATATCTGTTTTCTTAGAGGTTAGAGTTGAGGGTGTTAAAACCTTTAGCTAAATAAACAAGCACTGTACATTTGATTTACGCAGTATATATGCAGTGGGGAGCCTGACATCTGTGGCACAGTGCACAGCCCCAGTTAAGACTCCAGCGGCAGAGAGAGAGTAGAACTCAGGGGCAGACCTCTTGGTGCCTGAGTTGAGACTTAAAGGATCAGTAGGAGCTGGAAGGTGATGGGAGTGGGAGAGGAGTATCTGGATTCATGCGGCAAGGTCAGAAGACAGGCAGTGAAGTCTGTATCACAGTCGAGGAGATTTCAGGCTGATGGAAATGCGTGAGTGTGTGATGGTCCCTCAGTGTGTAGTAACTTGTGCTTTCCCAGTGGCTAATTATGGTGAGCAACCACTTTGTGCTTTCTTCCCATCCCTGTATCAAGTTTAGTAAAGTGTTCAAAAGTTTTGTCAAAATGGATTGTTTGCTTTCAATACTGTTCATTTGGAGGAGTTCTTTATACATTCTAGATACAAATTCACTGTCAGATGTGCAGTTTCTGCATATTTTCTCAAAAAAATGTTTGTCTTCTTATTCTCTTAGCAGTTTCAGAGAGCAAACATTTCTAAGACTGGAG